ATATGTAGGCTACACAAACCTCTGCTATAAACAGGTGGGTGTAAAAGTTTCTGCCATCAATGCCAACTGGTCTGTAAACAGTCCAATCCCACCTTTCTGCATTTTTGCACCTGTAGATGACATAAGCTTCACATGTGAATAGTCAGAGATTGTCATTATTTCAATAGCTATGATTTAGATTAAGGAGGTTTATTCAAGGGTATTGTTGGGAGAAGAAATTAGGTGCTGGTCACTCCTGGGTGCTAAAGGGTCAAACCCTCAAATCAGGAAGAACAGTAATTATAAAAATAAAAATCAACAAACTCAGCTTGCATGTGATACAAATTTCCTGAAACAGAAATTTAACATTTGCATTAATGTAAACAATGGCAAGCAGGTGGTTTTGAAGGCTTGCAGAGCTTTCTGTTCCATAAGAACAATGCTGCTTGTGAGAAAGACTTCCAATGAAACATACCTTTCAATGTTTCCATTGTTGGTTACAGAGTTACACCATTTGTTGAAGCCAGTGACGATAAATATAGTACACACCAAGCAGTTGATCCAAGCAATTGCTGCTAAAATGATGGCCATGAATTTGAAGTAAACTACGCTAGAAATGGTGGAATGTTGAAGGAAATATGAGTAGGGCTGAAGGCGAAAACTTAAAATTAAATTTAAAAATTGATTCTTTGTTGAAGTGTCAATGTTGACAGGTGGTGACAAATACACACATGTACATGTGAAACCTCTTTAGTGTGAGCTTTAAAAAGCGGAATTGCAAACTTAAGAAGAACAAATTTTTCCTGAAAACTGGACATCTAAAGGTTGATGGTAGGGTTTAGGAAGCAGTATGTTTAACTTTTTTTATCTTTTACTTTTTAACAAATCGATTCGAATTCTATGGCGCTGTGCGTCCATTTTTTACTTTTTTAATCAGTAGATCAGATTTTGACGTCTCCTGTGATGTACAACTGTTTAGACCCGCGGTAACATGGAATCTATACTAGAGAGGGAATAACTAATCTGGGAGATAAAAAATTGGAAATAAAAATATGCATGATAGAGTTGAATATATTTAAAAATAATAAATAAGATTTGGGCACTTCGATCGTCTTAATAAACTCGCCATCAATTTCATTTAATCAACACCTTACCTCCAATTGTAGGTGTGTACACTACAGCAGCATTGGCCAAATCCGAGCAAAATCGCTAAGATGGCGTTTGTCAAAGAGGAGTAAAATGTAAAATTACAGTACGCTTGATTTCCCATGAATATGTTGTTGGTTAGAATATCCAGTTTTCCAAAAAGTAAACAGTCACCATTGAAATTAGTTTCGTTGAGTTTAAGAAGAACTGAAATGCAACATCCAGCGGCGAGGGCTACGATGTAGAAGAAAATCTCAAATCGCTCCGCTCGCTGCATATTTTGTGAAAGCAAAATATACACTTTTTCTCGATGTAAACATTGAATTACTAGGATTAGGAGATATCGGTATGCTAAGTATTCCAATAATTTGCTCCGTTTATCTTCGGCTCCCTTCGGAAAGTTTCGGGAAAGGTTCGTTGCACTATTTATTGACCAGTTTCTCTCACTCGTTTGTTGCAGCAAACCCTGGCTAACATGGCGGCCGTTCAGGAAGGGCTGGTGGGTAACGAGGTTGAATCCAGCGAATATCCTTTTCATCCTGTAGGTTGGTATCTCATGTTCTCTTTCATTGTGAAGCTTTATTTCCATTCATTCGTCAGGCGACAACTTGCGTTTGAGAATGGAGACAAAAAGGTAGTAGAGTAAATGTTAGGTGCAACATGCTTTTTCTATGAGCCTGAATCTCTCTCTTATCTTTCTTCGATGGAATTGAAATGCAGCGGCGAAGGACAACGGTGAAAATACGGCAGAGGGTGATAATGATGCAAACATAACTGAAACGAAGGCAAATGGTTCCATTGGTGACGAAGATTCTACAAATGCCCCAGTACTGGAAGGAGAAGTTGTCAACGAACAAGAATTGAAGTACTGGAAGGCTGTGAAGGAAAACCCCGCGGATTTTACAAGTTGGACGTATCTCTTGCAGTTTGTCGAACAAGAGGTATGTAATAAACCTAACCTATCCGTTGTTCGTTGAACACTTTCACGTGGAAGTCTTTGTCAGCTGAACTTCATTTGCTCTGAATGTTATCATTAAAGTTGGTCGATGATTCTCTTTGTTTAGGATAATTCTAGCCTTTACTTGGAAAAAACCATGCAAGTCATCGTTTGTAGAACCCACAGTTTGAGGAGGTTTATATTTCTTGTTGCTTTTTCAGCCTGCACTTTGCTTTCACAACCTTTTTGAACTTGGTGTGCGCTAATTTAGTCTTTCTCTGTGTATACTTTCCTTGTATGTAGAACAAACTGTCATCTGCTAGGCAAGCATTCGACGCCTTTTTTAAACGTTACCCTTATTGTTATGGGTACTGGAAGAAATATGCTGACCTGGAAAGGAAAAATGGAAACAATGACAGAGCTAGAGAGGTATGTGTTGGTGATGTAATAAAACCAAGTTGAATTTACTCTACAGAGTTGGACATTTAACTACTGATAGTAACAGCAAACAAATGTGTTGAAAGGATTTACTTCTGCAAGTCAACATTAGTACAAGTCTGAACAGTCCATTTGACTTGATATATATTAGCGTTGATTCTCACCAGGACATTACAATGCCAGTAATAACCAAATTTACACATGAAACCCTCCAAAATCAAGTAACTTAAATAGACTTAATTTTTTTTGTTTGCTTCAGGTATTTGAGGGTGCTATTTCAGCCATTCCTCTCAGTGTGGATTTGTGGGTACATTACCTCAACTTTGTTTCTCAAAGTACCAAAGGTCAGATTGATGGCCCAGAGGTCATGCGCAGGTAACTTTCATTAATGAACCTGAATACTGACATTGCTATCTGTTCTCCAGGAAAACTGATCAGCAAAGGCTTGAGGAGAGCATTAACCTTTCCACTGGGGATAATCTGACCACTGTTGATGAGTGTGTTTAAAACTTTGAGAGTTCTGTTTTTGAATTTCTGATTTGTTCAATTTTTGGCAGTTCATCTAATCCCGATGATTTGTTGTGCCATGTATTTCTTATTAGTAACAGTTAGGTTGGTGTTGATAAACAGTTTTGAGTGGGCATCGCAACCCACGCCAGCCTCTTCCGGGTCAATTGGTATTGGGTTCTTTACTGATGGACAAGGTATTTTAATGCTTCAATCCATTCAGTCCTGATTTAAGTCCATTTTGCATCAAGTAGTCAGTTTATGCCTTTTTGTTAGACTTATCTTTTACTAAGTTATTTTTTGCTTCTCTCTTTGGTTTCTTTTTTGCAGTTTATTTGAAAGAGCAGTGTCATCGGCTGGAGAAGAGTTCCGTGCAGACAAACTTTGGGATGCTTACATTGACTGGGAGAAAAATCAAGGCCAACTGCAAAGAGTAACAGCTTTATATGACAGAGTCTTTTATGTTCCTACCCAGAATTACAGCCAGAACTTTGAAAAGTAAGCATTTTGGTAATTTTGAAAAAATACAATGTACATGTGCTGCTGAGTTGTCAAAGAGTATACCAAGCTGAACTGCGTGGTATTTTAAATCCACTTTACTTAAGTTAGAACTATTAGATGTTCACATCTACCAAGTTTGGCTGTGGTCAGTATGGTTGTATCAAACTAATTTTAAATTTTCCCGGCTTGTAGCCAAGGAGATGCGAGGCATTTTTTGAGAGAATTGCAAAGCAGATTGAGAGAGTGAAAACATTAAGAAAATCAATAAAGAAAAGAAAAAATACCTATAATTTGCTCTAATTTTTATCCTTTTCTTCAGGTTTAAACAACACATAAACTCCAACCCTATTGCTGCGGTATTGTGCACCGAGGAACTTCTTAAGCTGAGGGCAGAGGTTGCAGCTGCTCCCCCTGGCCTGTCATCAGCCGAGGTGGAACCTCTTATAAGTGTAACCTCTTCCTCGGCTAATCCACCAGGTATAGGAAGTGTATATGGAGTCTGCATAATTGGTTATGTCTACTTTTATTGTATGATGCTCCTCAATACTTGTGTTGTATAAAGCCCTTCAATTTTGTCAGTGCTTTCAGATTTGCCATCTTGGTGAAGTGCTTGCTGACATTAGAATTCATGAGGAATGAGACATTAGAATGTGTTCAGTTTTTGCTTTCATGATAAATGATTTTCAAACTACATTAAATGTTCCAAAAGTCCCAAGCATTCTCAGAATAGTTTATTTGTATTTGGTCTCTGAAGGTGTTGATGGAGATGCTGATGCTGATGAAGTAGCTCCTGGAACTGAAAACCTTACCATTCCTGGAGCTGAAAGCTCTGTCACTTCCCAGGTATTAGTTTCTTTCAACTTCCAAATAATGTGTATTATGAAGGCATTACTTTAGATTGGTCGGTAAATGTAGAAATGATAGTAACAATTGCAGTTATAAAAAGCTGTCAAGAGGATAGAAGGTTTAGTTGGGCTTGTTTTGAATGTGAGGCTTAAAATGTGTGGTAGCTTGTTTTTATTTCATTTGTGAATGTTTGTTTTACACATTCTTTTCCCTCAGGATGATGCTGAAACTATTGCAATCAGAGAAAAAGTAATTGCAGCAAGACAAAAAGTATTTACTGCATTAGGAGAAGAAGTGAGAAAGCGCTGGACATTTGAGGAGGCCATAAAGAGACCATATTTCCATGTCAAACCACTTGAACGTGTCCAGCTAAAGAACTGGAGAGAATATCTGGATTTTGAAATTGGCAATGGTGATCATAGAAGGGTTGTGATTCTCTTTGAACGTTGTGTAATTGCATGTGCATTGTATGAGGACTTTTGGCAAAGATTTGCTAGTTACATGGAAGCACATGATGTGGAAGCATGCCGCCATGTATACGAGAGAGCATGCACAATACACCTTCCAAGGAAACCTTCCATTCATTTAGCATGGGCTGCTTTTGAAGAACAGCAAGGTGAGTCCACTTTTTTCATGTCAGGATGTCCAGTTAGAATTCTAGTGGGCCAATTTATATCTCATCTTGGTATGGCATGTGTATATTGAACCCTGAAGAAATAATTTAGTATAAGAATCTCATGGTGTGATCAAAACTGCTCAAGAAAGCTACAGATACTTGGAGTCCTATCTAATTTCAAGTCCAAAATTTTCAATCTTTTTTTCTTCGTGTGTGTTACATTGCATACGAATTGAGACATCTTTAACAGATCATTTTACCATCAATCTTTAAATCTACCTATTATGCATTATACAAGGTAGATTAAAAAGTGCCTCAATTAATTTTTTGGCAAAGTTATGATATTAGTCTCATATAGGCAAAGGGATGGTTGGTACTAATTTATCATCTTTTTTTTTAAGGAAATGCTGCCAAGGCATCAGAGATTTTGGCTGAGTTAGACAAGGGTGTTCCTGGTATAATAATAGTGAAGCTAAAGAGAGTAAACCTGGAAAGACGGAGGGACAACTTTGAAGTTACTTGTACTCTCTATGAAGAGACCATGAATGAGACTAGTGACCAGGAGTTAGCAACATTTTTTGCTATTAGATACTCCCGATTTTTAGCAAAGGTAAGAGAAGAATTCTGTGTTTGGCCAACTTGTGTTTAGAAGGGTTCTTTTTAACCCTCTAACCTCACAAAGAGTAATAACATGCAACTCTTTCTTGCAATGTTAAATGTTATTAGGATAGAAGAACTTTTCAGCTTAAGGGTTGTTATCTTGTTCCATAAGGAAATTCTGTTGAATGCTATAAATTGATTCTTATAGTATCTAGGCAGATCATGGGTTTAAAAATTTGAAACGTTTTTCTAAAGTTGTTTGTCTTAACTCTTTAAACCCGAAGAGTGACTAGCATTATATATTAAGGTTATGAGGATGACTAAAATCATACCCCACAAAAGAAGCTTTTGATCGGTTGACAATTTCTCCTTGTCAGCACCGTAGGAAATATGTAAAGAACAGTATGGAGAATATGCATAATGACTTTAGGGTGTAAAGGGTTAATGGTTTGCCTGTGATCAGTAGTTCAAAATCTAATGATGAATGCTAATTTAAAAAGGTTTACATCACCTATAGACCTTGACTTAATCTTGTATTATGCAATGTAGATGAGATATTTGGACTGAGTATTGTTGCTGGAATTGAGTTTCATACCCTCTTCAATTAGTGTTGCTTGTCTTTGTTCTTGTGTCTGCTCCCCTGAGTGTTCTCTTTTTTTTTCTCATTAGGTCATGGGTAATGTGGAGAAAGCAAGAGAGGTCTTGAAGGTTGCCCTTGAAAAAGATAAGGTATTTACAAACACTCTATGTATCATTTCAAGAAGGATGAAAAGAGTGGATGAAAATCAATCTGTACCAGTTATTTATTCTCTTGACACTCTAATTTTTTTGTCATATCAGTGTTGGTGTGGCATTAAGGACACTTTGGACATTTCCACAATAGCATTAAATAAAGTGCCTTTGATGAAGTCAAATCATTTATCTGTTGCACTTTTTTTATATAACATTGAATTTTTTTCCTCTCTAGGATAACAAGAGGTTGTATCTTCAGCTTTTGGATGTAGAGCTTTCTTCATTTCCATTGAAAGAAGAAAAGGTTCTAGAAGTCTTTGATTTGGTGAGAGACAGTGAGCTGAACACAGAAGTCAAACAAGGTTTCTCTCAAAGACAAGTTGAATTTCTTGAAGATTTCAGTGCTGACATTACCAAAATAATGGCTGCTCAGGAAAATCATGCTAGACTTTATAAAGGAAAATCTTCCTTGATCCCATTGACTGGCAGTAAAAGGTCACAAGAGGGAGATGGGTAAGAAGTAATTGCTTTAAAGAAATGCATTTCAAAATTTTTCAAGTGAGATATCACAACAGAGAGATGTGAGAATTTCTTTAAAACGAGAACTGTCACTGAAATGTCATAGTACAGGCTGCAAGATAATGAAAGCTAACTTAATGGTGGAGGAGTGGGGCAACCTTTAGCTAGTGGATGCGTCAATTCCATGACAATTCACTCGTTCCCTGTTGCCAACAGAAAATGCACTATGCAAAATTTCATTTCTTTGTTGTTACTTGCAAGGGAATCCTATGCTATCTGCGATAAGTATCTTCTTAATGGTAAAAAATTGTCAAAAGTGAACTTCTATTGTATTCCTTAATGTTGTGTATATTACTTTATTCAGCATAAACTGTGGTGCACTTCAGAATTCTGTTAAAAGGTCTTTTATCCTTTCTAGTAGTTCAGACATCAAATCCAAAGTATCAAAAACAGAAGATGGAATAGTGGAAAATAGTCAACATGCTACCAGCACTGCACTGACAGGAGCAGAAACATACGATGCGTCATATCCATCAGCAGCAGCCTACTCTGCTGCGGCATCTGCTTATAACTATTCCACACCCTTACAGAGCCAGTGGGCAGCCTACTCAGCTGCACAGCCGGTAGGTTGTCAATAAGTTGGAGGTGAACTGGTGGCAACTTTGCTAGTGAACTGTCTGATCTATGATTGTTTGCTCGTTCCCTGTTGCCAATAGCACATGCAATTGTACCATTCTGTTTTGAGGAAACCTGTTCTTGTTATGGGCAGATATGAAGCAGATGTACTGACAGTTGATCTTACATCAAAGATTTTTTTTTGTTATTCTTTTGGTAATGCATTTCACAAGACAGTTTAATTTGATTTTAAAACGGGTAGCATCAATTCACGGACGGCCACTTATCAAATCCTGGCTGAAAGCCTGTGTCCTTCCCTTCATGGCTTTCACATCTTTGCAAAAGCTCTTTACTTCCTAAATCTTTGCTGCCCTCAGGAACTTGTATGGTTACACTGAGCTTAGGAAAAAAAAACTTTAATGATTTAAGGGTGAATTTAAAACATTGTTTCTCTATCTTTCAGAATGCATACAGCTATAGTCAGTGGTATCAGCAGTATGGGGCTGCATATGGACATCCTCACCAAACTGCCACACAGTAGTGTTTTTATTTTGTTTTATACACAGACCTAAGTCAAAAATGATGCATGTACATAGTTAGACAGACATAGTGCTCTGCGTAGTCTCACATGAGGACTTTTACTTCTTGATAAATAATATAAAGTGCATGTCAGATGAACAATTTAAAAGTACTGTTTGTCATAAAGCAGCTTATTGTGTAGGGCTCCTTGACGACCATCTGCAGCTGTTGTCAAATTAAGCCATGTGAACTTGTGAAATGTTGAAAATTTAGTGCTGGTAGTTTTTCCTTAGTTATGTGTTCCAGTGCCGTTTCAATTATTTAAAAAACTCAACCAAAATTAATGTACAACAAATAGACAGCCACTGATGCATGGTAGCATTTTTATCATGGTTACCCTGAGGATAAGCCAAAAAATATAAACATAAGATTTCCTTGTAACATACATTGTTTGAAATAAAAGTATCTTCTGTCAAAGAAACTGTATGGTTTATGTTAAGCATTCAGAACTTAAAAAAGTCAAAAATTGTATATTTTTTTGGAAGGCTTTCATGGTTTAAGATGCTAAACAATCCCCTATAAATATATCAAGTAGAATTTTTTGCAGTGCAGGTGAAGAAAAAGAGACTTGACATTGGGAGATTCAGGAAGATAGAGACAGAGGTTGAAGGTCTCAATGTCGTGTGTTGTGAAACTAGGCACATAAAATGTTAAATGTCATTAAAGGAAACTGCAACAATTTACTGCATAGACTTTAAATTTTTTTCATGATACACTTTTCACAGAATTTTTTTTACCTCTAAAGAGAGTGTTTGGAACTCCAGTACTGTGGGTTAAATCATTAACTCAACTAAAGGAGATAATGACAAGCCATTGTTTAAGATAGTTTTACATGCACAGGAATCGTTTACATTATAAAACAAAAGGAAAATTCATTCTAGCTATTATATTTAGTTTCAATTGCTTCACTCTGTGTCTCACTTTGTACAAAATGTTGCTGAGGTGTTTTCACTGGCTACAGAAATCCCAGTAAGGCTTGCACACTTGTCAAAAGAACTGGCAACTGGCTTCATCTCTGGGGAATAAAGGCCACTTCATGCAAAGGTTTGGAAAAAGTGACAAATGCACACACCGTTGTTTGCTAGGCCCTTTCTGTGTGCTGTGTATCATTTTAATTCTGATTACCAGAAGTTATTAACATGAAACTTCTCCCTGTAATATCCCATGTTATTCAGCAAACAGGATATGAGAATATCCCAACTTATCTCTTGACAAAGCACCAAGTTCTCATAACTAATTTACAAGGAAATGTGTAACAGCTAGAGGGGAGAATTAACAATCAGATCTTGGGAGTTAAAGGGTTAACAACTCTATCAATGACTACATATTAACTGAAGTATACTGTTACAGTAATTTTTACCAGAAAAACAAAAAAACAATTACACTTTATGTACATGTGCACCTCCCACTTATCAAGAGTGACAATGGACACAGACATAACTACTAAATACAATTTAAAGTTAATTCTGATCTACTATTAACTGTCAATATCAAAATCAAGGATTCTCTTTGATGCTACAAGATTGCCAAAAGTTTAGTGATCTTCCACACCATTCACATCTTCACTGGCCTGTTTCCAAATCATGTGAACATAATATGCTGGGCATTCAACTTGTCCAAGGGGTTCAAAGTCGCCAAACACTTCATGTCTTGTGGCTTCACCGAAGACGCTTTTCAGGAGGTTGGTAAATGTGCTCAGGCGCAGGGGGCAGTAGGAAAGACGGAACTTGCTGTAGTTACAGAATAGAAAAAATGAAAAATTGAGTGTGATGAAAACTGAAGGACAAGAATGGAAATCCCAAATCTATTTGGTGTGATTAGAAAAAGACCTCTAATTCTGCCTTATTTAAATAAAATGTTATGTTGGAAATATCCCAGTTCACTTTTGCGAATCATACTTGAATGAGAGATTGAAAAAGAATGAGAATTCACTATGACAGAAGCCTGAAAAGGATTTAGCAAATAAATGCCAGAACTTGAATTTTGTGGTCCCTGAGTGTGGGGTTTTATTATATAGAAAATCTAGGACATATATTTGATAAGTGTAACAGTCTGGCTGTTTCATATTGGACCAAGGCATTATGAAACCATACTGAAGATAACAAATGATTAGTTGGGCATGTAAGACCTCTATTGCCTTGCCAACAAAGTCAGTGGGGTGATAAATAAGTAATAGATCCCTACAACTTTATCACCACTGTATTTCCACTTTAACGTCAAATGACTTGAAATCAACTGTGTGTGAAGATACCTGACGTCTCCTTCAGTTGATTTCCTTTTCTTCACTGCTGGTTCTTCTCCCTCTTCTGTAAAATCATCTGAAGCCTTTGAAGGGTCAACGGTGTAGTCCAATGTTATCATACTCTCTTTGCCATCCACAAATAGGACTGAAGTCTTGATACTCTCAATACAGTCACTCTGTCAATAAAATTAAAGTAGTTAGGTTTGAGCTTGAGTTAAGTTTAACACATAAATACTTTCAACTGCCTGGAATGATCTGTATTAGAATTCTCTCCACAATAGCTCTTGTGTGTGAGGATGTCACTTCCTGAAAATTAACCCCAGAGCCTCATTTGCACTAAAATCTACACTAAAATTACCACTTTTTTATATCTTTACATGAGAGTTAAAATTTACCACTTCACACCTTGAAAGGGAGGCTTGGGGCTGTAATTTGGTTGTGCACCATAAATATCCATAAAGCCTATCTTAATACACTCTCAAACAAAATTATGCACTTAGAGGATAAACTAAATGGATAAATTACCAAATTCCTGAGTAACCAAAAGGGAAACAAATTATATTTGTTATCAGGTGGGAGAATTACCTGTGACATCTTCTTGTTATTAGAGCTGTGAGGCTTAGGGTTTGAGAAAGCTTCAACAAATGCTCAATATATGATGGTTAAATAGACTTCATTGGCTCAAATTATCTGAGTTAAAGGTGTGACCTTATTGGCTGGAAATGCTAAATAATGAGAAAAAAAACTACTGTACATTTTGAATTTAGTAACTTACATTGTAATACAAGTTTCGCTGAGGGGCTTTGCCTGTATCAAGAATAGCATCATAATTACGGTGGTCAATGAACAAGACCCCGCCAGGCTTTAACATATCTTGGAAGTTTTGAATTGCCAGCTTCTGATTGGTTAAGTCTCCTTGGAAGTCTGGCAAGTGAGCAAATGAATTTCCAAGACAGATGACTGCATCAAAACCTTGTGGAGGGACATCAATGTTGGCATCTTTTAAAGAAAGCCAGTTGCCTTCTTCAATTTCTGAAATTAAATGACAAGAAATTTTAAATAATTTAAGAGACCATTGGTGCACAAATGCTTGTGTACCATTTTGGTCACTGATTATTCCTTACCCCACTCATCAAAGGCTTCTTCCTTTCGACGCTGCCACCGTATCTTCCATGCTTGTTTCAACATTTTATCACTGGCATCTGTGCTTGTCACTTTAAAGTTGTTTTCAAGCAGCATAATGGAGTCCACTCTAAGAGAAATAAAGATGCTCTGGTGCATTACTTCATGAAACAAGAAAAAATAACAATGTACCCATGGACTTCTCAATGCACATGAACAAACATTTATGGCCCTAGTAAGAGTGATAACCTAATTGCCAGCTACTGATCCTTGGTAATGGATGTGTTTACAAAGATCACAAAGAACATGCTAAGTAAGAATTCCAATAGCTTTTCCTTCAGATACCCTTTACACAATTATAAGGTACTTGATAAAGTGACTGTCAGTCAGCTCAGAAATTAATTTTCACTTCTCATCTAAGTATCTGATTGCCAGCAATGTTACTTGCTCGTTACTTTTACAATCCTAGCAAAAGCCTCAAGGGATTTGTGGTGTACAATCTCTCTCAATTCTTCTCCAACACTCACAAAAACAGGAAGTAAATTTTGATTGTATTGCATAGGCACAGCAGTGGTCAGATTAACTCGAGTAACATTACCTCAACACTGCGGAATCCTTCCTTTTTTATCAAGCTCTACAGCTAGAAAGGTGAAGGAAGGGCAACCTTTTTCTGACAAATGACAACTGCATGCATCCTGCAGTTCCCTGAGTTTTTAGTAGCATGACCTCAAGTGTGTGCGGAGTGTCTTATCTGTAAATAAACATTAGGACCAACAGAAGACTTAAAAAAGAGTTTGAGTAGTAAGCAAAATTTAGTGAGATAAATTTGAAAACGGTGCAACCTCTGCTAACAAAGATGATGCTATTCAGTTATTTAACCCCCCAAGAGTTACTAGCATCTAATTTCTCCTTTCACCTCTGAATCACACCTTAAATTCACGAGAATAAAGGAAATGATCACCAATAAACTATGGTGAGAGAATATGCATATGAATATGCATACTGATCTTAAGGTGTAAAATTTACGCTAACGTCTCCATGAGTGATTACGTGGACAAAGAAAGAGCACAGTAAACTTCAGCTGTGGAAAGAGGGAATACGATCTTTGAGAATCAGCTTAGCTTATGATTGCCTCGTAGATATGTACGTCAAAACAAAGAGTTTAGTCACGTACCAACCATTCCCAAACAAGAAAAAAACCTGACAATATCTTGGCGAACCGGCTTCCTAACGAGATTGACGTGTCATATGATAATGAAATCCTCAAGGCACAATAATAATCCACGAAGTAGGTTTCGAAGACAGAGTCAAATAATGCGCAAACGTTTCACCACAGCAGATCACTTTGTGTACTATTTGCTGATTTATAAAAGCCAATAAAAATGTAAAAATGTGCATCTTCAAGAGCACACAATTATCAAAGACAACATTATTTTAGATGTTTCGATTTCGTGACGTGTTCATTGTCAAATTTGAGCAATAAATTGAGGGTCGTTTTCTCACCCTGTTCCACAAGCGACATCGAGAATGTGTTTTACACCGTTGTCATTCAAAAGATTGCAGAAGAATTCTCTATATGACTCTGTTCGTTTCTTGTGTCCACCGATGTAGTGCTGCCAGACTTTTGCGGCTTTTCCATCTGCGTACTGATCTGGAATGCCAGAGACACCGATTCCCAAGGAACGTGTACGGTAAACGCTATCAACCATGGTGATTTACGTGTGCTTTAGGATCTGTACCGCTGTACCCTTTTCACCGCTTCGTAGTATTGATGAAAGGGATCGCAAGGTTTGAGATTTTTACTCCAAAACAACCTTAACTCGTGATAGTAAATATGCTGTAAAGCAGCATGACTGGAAAGACTTGTTTTGATTTCCTAATATGGTGTGCTCTTTGTTTCGAATACGCTTATTATGGAGTTTATTACCAAATATGGTTGAAGAGTGGGGGTGTGTGCCTTGTTAAAAAAACGCGCGAGATTCCAGTTTTGCGGAAATGATTTTCCCTCAACACAGCCTAATCAAAGAAAAGAAAATGTATTTCTTGTTTTATATTCTTGATAGATAAACAATAGAAAAGTAAAAAGTACTTTTAAAAGAGACATGGACTTCTTATCAGTCAGGAGCTTAATTGAAATGCCATCCTTAACCCAATGTCTCGTGCATTTCAGGCTATTTTTAGCACACACTTCGCCATCCTTACGCAACGAAAATGTGCGTTACAAGCACTGTCGATATCAGTAATATTCTCGCGAATGATAATGTACATAAAAGAATTACGCACTTCTGAATGGCTGGAAGTGAGTGCATTTTTCATGTATCACGAGAGCAAAGTTGTAAAACAAGTGCAACTTACAAATGGCGCGCGCTGTCAAAATTTCGTCGGTTTTGACTTTCTGTGATGCTTCTTCATGTAAATTATTGATAAGTAATAACACGATTTCGCGTGCAATTTAGTGTAAATAAGGACTTGTAAAATTTTAAAAGACTACAAATTGCACTCGCCCTATAGGTTCGTGCAATTTTGTTGTATTCGAAAAATTTACTCGTGCTTATTAACACCAAATTGCACTCATATTAGTACCTATACTAATTACATCTGGATTAAGTGTGAGGTTTACTTTTTAATATTTCCGCCGTTTCCTGATAATATCGAGTATGTTGTAAACCAAGCCAGGCCTGTTTACATTGAGCTGGGGGACCCAAAAATCTTAGAACCGACCATTTGAACCACTGATGTTTTCATGCAAAAGGTAAAGCAGCTGAAGTGAGTCCTCACTGGTGTTGTGTTCTTCGCATTGCAATGAGATCACCTAATCGGCGTTCAAAATACTCCAGAACATAATTGTTTTCAGAGTATGAAGGTTTCGTTGAGCGTGATCGTGATAGAACAGCAAGGGGATTGAACTTTGCGAAAATTCCTCAAAATCGTTAATCATTTCCCCCGTCATTCTCTCGACTTGATAGCGAGCACAATAGCCGTAAAAAGTTTTGTAACGCACTGAAGTATCACCGCTGACCAAACTTGATAGCGGACACAATAACCGTCTATCTATATCTTTGTAAGCAGTGACCTACATATAATTCCGCAATGCCCTAGATATAGGTGAATGCTAAAGGGCATAAATATTTGCCGTATGCTCTAAATATATTTGTAATTGGATGAATGTATTTGTGATTAGCCCCAAATATATGAAACAATGCCAGGACAATGCCATATATTTATTTATCATAGCCATAAATATTTCATTTACCGTAAATACTTGTTGCTATAAAATATTGTCCTATATGGCACTCCATACGCGACAGCAACCTCGAGAAACTTCACCCGGAATCCCGAGATTGTAAGATGGCATGTAAACGCAGGCTTTTCTTCGACCACGGCAAGGCGGGTTACTTCACCCTCCAGGAGGCCTTCATCTGCGTGTAAACAGGCCCTTAATATTTGTGCAGTGTAACACGTTCCTGAGACACCAAATAACTCATTGCAAAAGGTCTACAAAAATCAGGTATTAATGAAAAAAACTTCCTCGCTCGCTGGCTACCAAAATCCGAAAACATACCCAAGACGCTTTTACACGCGGTAAACTAGTTTGCATAAGGAAAGGCTGCTAAGAACCGTGCAGGTGTGTCGCGCCAAAGCATTGTCAATATGAATTCATTTGAAGAGGCATCAGCCATGCAGAGTACAAATGAATGCATTCTTCCTTGTAGACTAGTAGACTTGCAATTCGATCCAGAATCGCTTGAAATTTCTAAACAACGTCTCAAGAAGTCTGAGGAAATTTTTCAGGGGAAATTTTGTGAAAATTGTTCGGCTGCCGGAGAGAATATTCAAGAGAATATTCTCCGGAAGTTTCTTATGCTAATTTTCTCCTATTTGGTTTTTCGTTTTTTGATTTTGATCTTTGCTTCCGGAATGACAATCAACTGCTCCGTTTATTGTGAACAAAGCTCTTCGTGTGATGATGATAACAAATGTTTGGTACTTTTGAGCTTAGAAGGGTTCTTCTTTAACTTTTCGATTTCGAAATGGGAAGGAATGAACTATCGTTACGAGCTACCTCGCCTGCAGTTTCTTTTTTCTGCGTGGGTAGGTACAGAACGCTGGCCATAAAGATCAACGCTCAAAGAACCACCCTTTTCGCTAACACCACGTTTCAATATGGATTATCTCAACAGTAGAAAATTCGATAGAGCTTTCCCGAAGGCGGGCTTCTTCCTTCCCAAGTTTCTAACACTTTTAGTTATCGTCGTCTATGGATTCTTTGTTGTAGGTAAGTTCCCGTATACTTTTATTAGTTATAAGAAAAGGTTTACGTTACGTTTTCATGAAGAGTTTTTGTTGTATTCCGTCTTCAAGGTCATTAAAAGTGACCAAAATGTAATATAAAAGAGTCGGAGTATCGTTTTCTGTAGTTAACATGGACATTAAAGTTTCCGTTATTGAGCGAAAACGCTCCAATTTCTTTGGTTGAAATCTTCCACGTTTTTCACGATGCAATATTTGTCCTGACGATCGTTTTATAGTCGGAGAAATAGGAATTACGAAGGCAGTTTCTTCGTTCTTTACACATTTTTTTTTCTGCCTCTATCTTAGCATTGGTCTCATTAATTATTTTTATAATAGGCAACAGCAAGGGGACAAACACATTAAAGTGCCCTACCAAATCATAGGAAATTCTACCGAAGGAACGTTTTGAATCTCATTTGAAAGATCCCTCTTCTAACTCCGAAATTATTAGGGGGTCAAAAACCCTATGGGCTTTCTTAAAATGTATTTCAGAGCACATATGTACGCATCGGTTTCCTTCTTTGTAAGACCATATAGTAAATCAGAACTCAGTATATTCAAAGCGTTGTTCAGCCGTCATCACTTTCAGGTTCTAAAGGACAATGCAAATGTCACGAAACGTGAAAATATTCACTTGTGTAAAATACCGAGAACGGAAACGGAGTTTAGCAAGAATCTTTTCGATCGAATATAAATTTTTGCAAACAAAAATTGATCGACTGAGTTCAGCGAGGTCCTTTCTCTGTCTGCTTCTTCATGCTATTCAATTCTGATCAGTCCAAACTAGTATGCAGTATTTTTCTCGGCTCCAATTGACTCTGTCTTTATGTAGCTGCCATATTAGTTCATCTCCGCGGCTAGCGATAGTACAAAACAAAGGTTTAAAGATATGTTTTCCCACTCAAGTTTATGGAAAAATGGAGGTGGACAGCGAGAGACTTTGGCATATCGAAAATGGTTTTAACCCACCCATGATAACATCTGAGATAATACATCGAATGTATTTAAGATAATGTATTTTTCGTTTCAAGATGGCTGTGGTGTTCGCACGCGTTCTCGTATAGTCGGAGGCTACAAAGCTGCCCCTCATTCTTGGCCTTGGCAGGTCATGCTCATGTATCCTGATCCCGGCTGCGGAGGGACGTTATTGAATGAATTTTGGGTCATCACCGCAAACCACTGTTTGCCGGACTATTTGATGAATGAAGATGTTATAGTTAGGTAAGAAAGGTTACATGTCGAATGCTGTAACAAGTGATATTTAACATTCGTTCCATCCAATATTTTCCCTTCTGTCATAAAAAAACTCTTATTCTTTAAATGTAAACGAAAGGACATGTAGTGTCTTGCAAACGTAACGAAATTTTGAAGTTGAGAACTGTATATCATAAAAGGATTCATGGTTGCCTCATCAACAATACGCTGAAATACATACGTTATCGTTTACTACCGTTAAGGTTTTCGCAATCGAAATCATTAACATTTTTTACTTTTCCCTTTCATGCACTAAAACGGTAAAGGAAAGCGATGATGTTTTCTTGGTGGAGGTTGATATTAAACTTGGTGGAAAAAATTAAAAAATATACGGTATATATTTACCACAATTATTTGTCACTTAGGGTCGGTGCACACCACCGAACCAAGCCGAATAAGTGGGTGCAAGACTTACGAGTGCGACAGATTTATCGACACCCGAAGTACAACGATCCCGTTATGTGGGCAAATGATGTGGCCTTGCTCCTGCTAGACGGACCAGCCCAATTGAACAGCGCAGTCCGCCCAATTTGCTTGCCTGACAAGGATGACCAACCGGGTACAGATTGCACGGTGACCGGTTGGGGTCGCCTGAGTTATTATGGTCCTTATTCAGACTACCTTATGCAGGTAAACGCACCATTCGAGGTTTAACATGTATTACTTTTAAAATGAATTAAAAAGTTTAGAAATAAAAGCAGATTTTCAAATGCAATACAACTTCTCTCTTCGGGCAAGCCGAAAGCCTGACAACTGTTCATTTTAAACTGTAATCACAATGATGTCGAAAAACAGTCTTGCAAGACTGAAGTATCGCAAATTTTTAGCCGCGTTTTGTGAGACGTTAACCTAAAGGTGCGAGTTTTCTTTTCTTCCTTTTGTTATCTTTTTGTCAGGTGACCGTTCCAATCGTGCCCTATTCTGACTGCCGAAAGATCTATCCAGAAGAGGTCCACGAAAGTATGCTGTGTGGAGGACATCTAACAGACAGAAAAGATTCTTGTGAGGGCGATAGCGGAGGACCATATGTTTGCGAGCACCAAAACCGCATTTGGAAACTAGAAGGAGTCGTCAGCTGGGGTTACGGTTGTGGATGGGAGGGCCACCTAGGAGTCTATGCCAATGTCTCTCACGTACGTGATTGGATAAAAAGTGTATCACGTTTATGATACCACCGGTAAAAAGCTAGTGTGATTGATTTTGTGTCTTTTGACTGATTGACTGTCATTGACAATAAATCTCTCCCGTTCACCTAATATTAGAATAAAGTTAAAGCTTGTAAGTGGGACAGTAATTGTTATATAGATATTGATGTGATGACAGAATTTGGCTCGGTATTTGGTATTAGATATTTGCTCATTTGGACAATTTGTAGAGTAAATTTAAAAGTGTGTCATGAAGTTAGTAGATAGTTTGAGCTTTTACTAAGGTTTTTCTCCACTAGCGGGTTAAATATTCACATTAAAATAAGGTTAACCTTTGTGTGTAGTTATCCTTGGTTCAATATTCGTTAGTAGATAATTTGTTTTTCCCAGGTGGTTCTCAATTTCCCTCCCATCATCAGCAGATTGAGTCCTACATTCTTCTTGAATCCGAGAGCCGCTCCTGTCCACAATTCAAACTTACTAAGGCTAAAAGGCTTACAGAAGTTCAGAACACAGCAAGTTATTGAGTCAAATATTTGTTGGTTAAGCCTTGGAAATCTAGTATATCGAGTGTGTGAGGTAAACTAGCTAAAAAGAAAAAAAAAAATCCAAGCCCAAAACTTCATTATAAAATCCCTTCATGCTTCAGAATGGTAGTAACTAAGCGTCGATCAATTCAAGCTTCAACTTCTTTCTCCCCCCCTCCAAGGCAGTCCACGGATAATTGAAGTTTTGAAGATCGGTTCGTTCAAAACTCCCCTGGGCTATAATTGCATTCAAATGCCTTAAAATGGTATGGTTGCTGAAGCATACTTTTCCTTTAAAAACGAACTCTCTCGATCTTTAGTGGGATCTGGAAATTTAATTACATCGTTCATGATTTGGCAATCATTGCAAATGATTGATGCTTCTGGCTGACTACTATGCTATGACTGATAAAAATATGATTAACCCTTTAACTCCCAGAGGTGATCAACATGAAACTTCTCCCTATAGTATCCTCATATTATCCAGCAAACAGGTAATGAGAAAATTCCAACATATCAGCTAGAAGGTGTTATCTTGATCTAACACCAAATTCTTGTCATTAATTTACAAGGAAACGTGTAGCAGCGAGAGGGGAGAATTAACAATCAAATCTTGGGAGTTAGAGGGAAATGTTAACTACAGATGTAAATCCCCAGTTAAGTCTGCTGAGTATGACTCTCGTAATAGCCGTGGTTACACACACCTTGGGTTTGGGGCCTTGCGGAGGGTAAATGACTTGGGTTTGGTTAAGCTCAGGTTTCATGTTACCCTTGGGGATGCGGTTACACA